TACAGGGGAGTCCAATGACGTAACCATTTCACCATCTGCCGGTCCCTTGACTCATGGTTTTAACCCGCGGTTGGCTCTGTGGCTTCCAGCCCTATAGCTCAGTACTCTATCAACTGCACCACCAGCCTCAGCAACAATTTCCTCCCTTCCTTCCTTCTCTTTCTCCCTCTCACTTTTTCTTTTTCTTTCTTCCTCCCAAGAGAAGAATGGAGGAGAAGGGATTGCAGCATTGCCATCCCCCCAGGGGATGATTTCTCACTTTCTGTCTCCCTGTGTCTCCAGCGAGTGCATGTATCCTATAGCAAAAATCTCTCTTTAAAAAAAAAAAAAATAGGGGCCGGCAGATGGCATGGTGGATTGGGACACTGGACTCCCCTCATGGCCAACCACGGTTCAAGTCTTGGACCTGGTCAGTTCAAGTCTCAGATCTGAGGCAGGAGGGAGCACAGTGGGGACAAGGTTCTTAAGAATGGCCATTCCTGTGGCAGAAGGACATGGAAACTGAGGAGGAATCTGATCCAGGAGATGAATACCTGTCTACCGTGGTCTGTTGTGTCTCTCACTTTCCCAGTGGCTTACTCCACCCCACCGTGCCAGTTTCACTGCTGCTCCTTCAGAAGGCCAAAGACATTTCTACCTCTTGCCCTTTGCACCTACTGTTCCTTCCTGTTCTTCAAGCTTTGCTTGAACATCACCTTCTTTGGGAAGACTGCTCTGACCACCCTTCCATGTTCCTTCAGCCTCTGTTGTATTCTTTTTTTTTTTTTTTAAAGAAGCTTTTGCCTTAGGACCTGTGATGCACCAGAGAGAGAGAGACACAGAGTGAGAGGGAAAGTGAGAAATCACCCCTTGGGGGGCCGGCCACGTCCCAACCCCTTCTCCTCTGTTTTCCTCCTGTGATCTTGAGTACACATGCCTGGCATGAGTTTTGAGCCACTGAGTCCAGGACTTGAACCTTGGTCAGCCGTGTGAGAATCTAGCGACATAACTGCTATGCCATCTGCTGGCCGCACCCTGTTGTATTTTTCTCCATGTCCCTTGTCATCATCTGCTGTTTAATACATATCCCTGTTCATCTGTGGTCAGTCTCCTCCCACCAGAAGGAGCACTGCTCAGGGTAGGAGTTTGTATGTTTTTGTCTCATGTTCCCAGCACCCAGTGCAAAGCCGACAGGGCATCTTGGAAGAGCTCAGTAAATGACGGGGGAATGCACACTGGGATAGTACAGGAAGAGTCCCAGGGACTGGAGGTCGGCCAGCTTGGGAGAGTCCCAGCGGCCCAGAGAGCATAGATGTGCGGCCCGGAGGGCTATGAGCAAGGCCTGTACTCCGAGTTGAGTGCAGTAACTTTGGGACTGTCAGTGCCATTGATGCCAGTATGTGGGTACCAGCTGGGCAGATGCAGCCTCCAGGGGTTTGGATGAGGATGGGGGGGTAGGGGTTGGTGCGTAGATACTGATTCTTGCCCCCCTGCTGAGCTCAGGAGAGGAGAGAAGGCTGGGGTGAAGGTGGAGGTAGAGGAATGCATTTCTTTGTTTTTTGGAGAGGTTTTTGCTATAGGGCACATGTGCTCACCAGAAAGACAGAGAGACAGAAAGCAAGAAATCACCACCCAGGGAGGATGGCCATGCTGCAATCCCTTCTCCTCCATTCTCCTCTCAGGATTTTGGGCACGCACGCACATGCACCCGGTGTGAGTTTAAGCCACCGGGTCCAGGACTTGAACCACGGTTGACTACGTGAGAGTCCAGCGACATAGCCATTACGCCAACTGCTGGTCCTAGAGGAATGCGTTTCTTAAAGAATTATTTTATTGAACTTTATTTATTTATTCATTTATTTTAATTTGACCAGAGAGGGTTAGAGAGAGAAAGCGAAGGAAAGTGAGAAAGTAAGCCGCCAGGTCCGGGACTCAAACCATAGTCAGCCATGTGGGAGTCCAGCTTCCTTAACTACCACACTACCTGCTGACCGTAAGGAATGCGTTTTTGTCCCACACAGGAGAGCCTTAAGTCTGCAGATGTACCCCAGCACCCCAGGCTTCCCTGACCAGACCCTCCTTCTCCTCACCATAGGTCATTGACCACAGTGGTGCCCGCCTTGGGGAGTATGAAGACGTATCCAAGGTGGAGAAATACAAGCTCTCACAAGAAGCCTATGACCAGAGGCAAGGTACGGCATATGGGTGTGGGCAGGGCACGTGAGGCTCGGGGGTATGTGCACAGGTAGGTGGAGGTGCCGACAGATTGGCAGGAGGGCTCGGGGGGATGGAGAGGGTTGGGGTGAGATTGGTGCTGGGGCCAGATGGTGGCACCAGAAAGCAGTTGGGGTAGTGGGGCATGGGGTGGAAATGGAGGCTGGGAGGTGTACCAAGGTGTGGTCAGGCAGGTGGGGTTGGGAAAGCAGAGGGGCTGGAGAGGAAGGGGCGGGGAGTTAGTTGTTGGGGGAGCAGAGTCAGAAGGAGATATGGGTGAGCAGCTGGGTATGGCAAACAAGGCATGGTGGCCTGCAGAGCAGACAGGGCAATGTGGCCATCACTGCAAGCATCTGAGATAGATCAGTAGGTGGTGGAGGAGCTGGCAGGTGGCATGGTTGTTAAGGGCACTGGACTCCCACATACCTGACCACAGTTAAGAGTCCCAGACCTGGCAGCTTGCTTTCTCACTTTCCCTCTCAATCTCACTCTGTCCCTCTCTGGTCAAATTAAAATAAGTAAATGAATAAATAACATTTAAAAAAAAATTCTTAAAAAAAAAAAAAGAGAACCAGCAGGTGGTGTGCTGGTTAAGGTGCTGGACACTTCCACATGGCTGACCATGGTTCGAATCCCGGACCTGGTGGCATACTTCCTTACTTTCTCTCTCTGCCTCTCTCTCTGGTCAAATAAAAAAATGCATGAATAGGGACCAGCAGGTGGTGTGGTGGCTGGGGTGCTAGACGCTCCCACATGGCCAACCATGGTTCAAGTCCCGGACCTGGTGGCTTGCTTTCTCACTTCCTCTCCCTCTCTCTCTCTCTCTCTCTCTCTGTGCATCTCTCTGGTCAAATTAAAATAAAATGAATGAATAAATAAATAAAATAAATAATTATATTTTAAAATGCATGAATAAATAAATAAAATTAAACAAATATTTTTTTAAAAAATGATGATGATGGTGGTGGAGGGACAGCTGATGACCTGATGGTTAAGGCAGTTGGATTCCACGTGGCCAACTATGTGGTTCGAATCCCGGACCAGGCTGCTTGAGGGACACACTGGGCACATATACATGCGTGCCTAAAATCCCGAAAAGAGAATGGAGAAGAAACTGCTGCCTGGCTATCCCTCCCACTGGGAAGTGTTTTCTCACTTTCCCTCATTTTTAAAGTTTGTGATAGGGGGGCGTGTGCTCGCCACAAGGTTGGAGCAGTGGTGAGCACATACCCAATAGCACAGACTCTTAAAAAAAGAGGTGGTGGAAAGGAGGGAGTCCAGGGACTGGATAAAAGGAACGTGAGACAGAAGGGGCATGAGGGAGGATAGAGTTATTCTTTAGTTTCTGGATTGTGGGGAGGCCTCAGGCATCTGGGGAAGAGGCCAAAGCTATGGTGGGACTTGGGAGACTTGGGTGACGGCCCTTCAACACCTAGAATAAAAGTAAACTTCCATTCTGTGATCTTTGGCCCCTTGTGGGTAGAACGATGTCTCATTAGGCCAAAGGCCCAAAGGCCCAGCCCCAGAGATGACTCTGAGCCCTGCTCCCCTCCTCATCTCCAGACACAGTTCGCTCCTTCCTGAAGCGCAGCAAGCTGGGCCGGTACAATGAAGAGGAGCGGGCACAGCAGGAGGCTGAGGCCGCCCAGCGCCTGGCTGAGGAGAAGGCCCAAGCCAGCACCATCTCCGTGGGCAGCCGCTGTGAAGTGCGGGCACCTGGGCAGTCCCCTCGCCGGGGTACTGTCATGTTTGTAGGTATGTGGGCCCCAGGATCCCCAGGTCCCAAGGTTGACACCATTCGTTCACCCAGCAGAGTCTCAGGGGCCTTATGCTCTGTGCTGAGGTGGGTAGTGCTGGCGACGCAGCTCTCAGGGAGCTCTCAATCCAGTGGGGGAGACAGACCTGTCATCCCAGGTTGGTGGCTGGTGGGGTGGCGGGCAAGTGGGAGGAACAGGCAGAGGGAGCTGGCTGGGTGAGGGAGGAAGCAGAGGCCAGTGGGATCAGGACTGTGATGACCAAGCACAGTGGTTGGAGCTGTGACAGGGAAGCTTGATCTGCCTGTGATGGGGAAATAGGCTGGGGTGATCAGGGCAGGGAGGAGGGAAGCTTAGGGGCTATGTGAGCAGAGAGGAGCACCAGACCGGTCCTAAGGGTGGGACCACATGAGGCAGGTGAGAAGCAGGAAGCATGTTCCACCCGAGGAGCAATAACCAGCAAGCACATTTGAGGCTGAGAAAGGGCAGCCTGCGGGAACCAGCAGTTAGCTAGCGTAATGGCTATGTCGCTGGACTCCCACGTAGTCGACCGCAGTTCGAGTCCCGGACCTGGTGGCTTAAAACTCACGCCGGGCATGTGTGCATGTGTGCCCAAGATCCCGAGAGGAGAATGGAGAAGGGATTGCGGTGTGACCATCCCCCCTGGGGGATGATTTCTCGCTTTCTGTCTCTATGTCTCTCTCTGTCGGTCTGGTGAGCGCACACGCCCTACAGTGAAAATCTCTAAAAAAAAAAAAAAAAAAAGAAAGGAAGGGCAGCCTGGCTAGGTGCTGAGAGCAGGGGGAGAGGTAAGGAAGATTACACATGAGCAGGGCGGGCCACAGGGCTTTGGAGATTGACGAGAGGAGTGGTGTAGATTTTTTTCTTTTTTGAAATAGCAGCTTTATGGAAACAGCAGATGGCATAATGGTTATGTTGCTGAACTCCTACATAGTCAACTCAGTTTGAGTCCAGGCCTGGCAGCTTAAACTCATACTGGGTGTCTGTTTGTGTGTGCCCAAAATCCCAAGAGAATGGAGAAGGGATTGTGGAATTGCCGTCCCCCCGGGGGGGTGATTTCTCACTTTCTGTCTCTCCAGCAAGCGCATGTGCCCTATAGCAAAAATCTCTCTTTAAAAAAAAAGGAGTGTGGTCAGCAGGTGGCAGGGTGGTTAAGGCACTGGACTCCCACATGGCTGACTGCATTTCAAGTCTCGGACCTGGCAGCTTGCTTCCTCACTTTCCCTTTCTCTTTCTCTCTGTCTCTCTGGTCAAGTTAAAAAATAATAACAAATAGAATTAAATTTTTAAAATTTAAAAATTATTTTAAAAATAAAAAAGAAATCTCAGCTTTATTTAGATATAATTCATGTACCATACACCTCACCTGTTTAAAGGACATCATTAGCTTAGGTATATTCACAGAATTGTGCCACCATCACTACAGTCAATTTCAGACCATTTTCATCATCCCAAAGAGAAGCCCCAGAGGTCAGCCTGTGATGTGGTAGTTGAGGTGGCTGGATCCCCCCACTTGGCTGAATATGTGGTTCAAGTCCTGAACCCAATGGCTTAAAAAACATGCTGGGTGCATGTGCATATGTGCCCAAGATCCCATAAAGAGGGAGCAATCAAGAAGGGTTTGTTGCGTGACCACTTCCCGTGAGGGGTGCTCTCTTCTACCCTCCTCTTTCTGGTTAGGACAGGTGCCCTCTAGCCAAGAATAAATATATATATTTATATATATATGAATATATGCATATGTTATTTTTCCTTTTTTTTGGAGAGGTTTTTGCTATAGGGCGCGTGCGCTTGCCAGACAGACAGAGAGAGACATAGAGACAGAAAGCGAGAAATCACCCCCTGGGCGGATGGCCACGCCGCAATCCCTTCTCCTCCATTCTCCTCTCAGGATCTTGGGCACGCACGTACACGCGCCCGGCGTGAGTTCTAAGCCCCCGGGTCCGGGACGCGAACGGCGGTCGACTGCGTGGGAGTCCAGCGACATAGCCATTACGCTAACTGCTGGTTCCCTCCTTTTTTATTGTTTTTGTTTGTTTGTTTTTTTACCATGAATCAAATTTCCCCACAAGGGAAATTTTATATTGATTATTTTATTTCATATTGGGGGATGGCCATGCCATAATCCCTTCTCCTCCATTCTTCTCCTGGGATTTTGGGCATGCATGTACATGCACCAGGTGTGATTTTTAAGCCAGGTCCAGGCCAGTGATTGGCCTTGTGGGAATCCAGTACCTTAACCACCATGCCATGTGCTGGCCCCCACCTTTTTTTAATTAGCCAAAGGGAGAAGACGAAAGTACTCCCCAATTGGTAATTCATTCCTTCCTTCTCCATGTCAGGATTTTGGGCACATATGCACATGTGCTGATGGTTGTTTTTGTTTGTTTGTTTATGTTTAGACCATTGTTATGCATTTTTCTTCTAATGAATACACACTAGTTTCAAGGAATGCCCCAAATAATCCCAGCCTGATGTGCCACAGAAATTCCATTTGGTTATTCTCCTAACAATAGAGGAACTTCATCTTATCATCATCCACTACCGTATTAAAGGATTTGCAACAGTAATTTATATATTTTATTTAATAATGGTTTTCAACCAGGCAAAGTGCTCTGTTGATTGAAAATGCTTCCCAGACAATTTTAAGCAGAGAGCTGAGAATCACTGGATGATAATCACTCAAATGATTGAAATTACTTTATCCCTCTTAGTTTATATTAATATATTTTGAAAAATTCTGGGAAAGGTTTATTATTACAAATGAAAATATATCTGAAGTAACTTTTTTTTTTTTGGAGAGGTTTTTGCTATACGGCACGTGTGCTCGCCAGAAAGAGACAGACAGAGAGACAGAAAGTTAGAAATCACTCCCCAGAGGGGATGGGCACACTGCAGTCCCTTCTCCTCCCTTTTCCTGGGATCTTGGGCATGCAAGTACACATGCCCAGCATGAGTTTCAAGCCACTGGGTCCAGGAATTGAACCACAGTCAACCATGTGGGAGTCCAGCGATGGCCATTATGCCAACTGCTGGTCCCAATATCTGAAGTAACTTTCAAGAAATAGTTACCTTTGAGGGAACCAGCAGTTGGCGTAATGGCTATGTCGCTGGACTCCCACATAGTCGACCGTGGTTCGTGTCCCGGACCCGGTGGCTTAAAACTCACGCCGGGCGCGTGTGCGTGTGTGCCCAAGATCCTGAAGAGGAGAATGGAGGAGAAGGGATTGCGGCGTGACCATCCCCCCTGGGGGGTGATTTCTCGCTTTCTGTCTCTATGTCTCTCTCTGTCTGTCTGGCGAGCGCACGCGCCCTACAGTGAAAATCTCTCAAAAAAAAAAAAAAAAAAGAAATAGTTACCTTTGAAAAGTTGGGTAAAAAGGTTTTGTCTTTAGTAGTATAGCCTCTTCTGTTTATGAATGGACATGCTGAAAAGCTAGTTTATATAGTCCTCTCTGTGGAACAATCCTGTCCCAGTAAATGAAATGAGAACTGTTATGAACATGATAAAGCCTGCAAACTAGATGGTCAGTGTGTTGCCATCCCACACTCACCTCTAAGTGACTCTGCTTACATGAACTATTTTTTTGCTCCACTTGAACCTGCTAACACAACTAGGGCCAGGGTAGGTTCCAGACCTAAGAGTAACCAATTCCCACACTGGCTGATGACACCAGTGAGAGACAGGGAAGAAAGGGTAGAAAGGGAAGCTTGCCCAGGTGGAGTCTCTTGGTGGTTAGAGACTAGACAGGAGGCAAGGGCCGTGTGTGTGCATGCTCAAGATCCCATGAGGAGAATGGAGGAGAAGGGACTGCAGCGTGCCCATTCCCCCGGGGGATAATTTCTCTCTTTCTTTCTGTCTCTGTCTCTCTAGTAAGTGCATGCACCCTACAGCAAAAAATCTCTATGGGGCCAACAGGTGGCATAGTGGTTAAGTTGCTGGACACTTAACCAGAGAACTGGCCTATATGGCCCAGTGCGGTTCGAGTCCCAAACCTGGTGGCTTGCTTTCTCACTTTTACTCTCTCTCTCTTTCTCTCTTTGTATATCTCTCTCTGGTCAAATTAAAATAAATGAATAAATAAACTAATTTTTAAAAATTCTCTAAAGGAAAAAGAAAAGAACCTCAAAGATGCAATTGTGAGGGAACAGAAGCTGTAAGGAAGTAAAGCTGGGCACTAGAGATGGTGGTGAGTAGACAGACAGTGGAGCCACTGTGAAAAGAATTGAGTCACATGCATGACAGAACCTAAAGACCCACCATCTCCTGCAGAGGGCTGCCATCTAATTCCTGCTCTTTCTGAGATCAAGGGGGGATTTCTGGGTGGGAGCCAGGGCCGGGAGGTATTTCCTGAGCCCCCAAGCATGTAATCATCAAATAAGGTCACACTGCTTGAGCTAACTGATTAGCTTTAGAGTCTTCCTATGTTTGTCCTCAGTTCAAATCCCTTACAAGTAAACAAGTATAACTGAAACAACTAGTTAAGCCACTACCACTTGTTTAAAATAGTACACACTTTTAAACTTCTATTTCTCTGACCAAATTTGGGAATGTTTAATCCATTAAGTTTTAAAACTTCCATAAACTTAACATTGGTATTATATGTTTATACATATGATGGAAGGTACAATTTACATTAAGTTTCATACTCATTTTGCAAAGACATATACACAAAGATATATAATAACTTGGAACTGAGAAACTGCAGATCTGTACTTTCAGGTTTGTTGGATCATGGTACTTCTGGTAAGGATCACCAGCATACCAGTTTCGCCTCTTCCAAGAAGATCTTGTCATCTTATCTAAGAGTTTGCTCTGGGTTTTATTGCAGAACACAAATTCCCTCAAGTGTCTTTTTCTTGTATTTTTCTTTTTCCATAATTTTTTCTTATAACCAGCCTTTCTCCTTAGCCAAAGGCCAAAATGAAGCCGAAGAAACCCTTAGATGACAGCCTTCAGTCTTCCTCTTGCCTTTTCGTGGACTAGTGTGTTACAGTTCTGACTGGGGGCAGCGTTAGGGCATCTGGAAGCAAGGGTGCCACTCTGTTAAGTACCGTTGCACTATACCCACGTCAGGTCTCTAACAGCCGTGAGAAATCTAGGAGCAGAGGAAACCACTGGTGTCTCAATATGACTCAACTGTCTGGTGGACAGTGCACAGGACAGGCATTCTTGGCACAATTTCGATAAGCTGAAGAAGACAAAATGTTCAAGGCCGCAAGATGCTTGAAGCTGCTCATGCAGCTCCAGCAGAGGTGGAGGCCGCCACCTTGCTACCCTTGCCTACGGCAGCCACACTGGACTTCTCGTGTTTCTCAAGCAACCGGAGCTGGCTTAGACCTGCTCTTTCAGCCATGTGAGATCTGGCTCTGTTAACCCTAAGCTACTGGCCTGGACTTGCCCTTTTTTTTAGGAATTATTTTTATTATTTAACTTTATTTATTTTAATTTGACCAAAGAGGGACAGAGTGAGAGAGGGAGGGAAAGTGAGAAAGGAAGCCGCCAGGTCTGGGATTCGAACTACGGTTGGTCATGTGGGAGTCCAGTCCACCTGCCGGCCCAGCCTTCCCCATTTTTGAATTGGGTGGTTTATCTTTTTGTTGTTGTGTATAGTTTGCTTGCACTGCCCTAGCAAAGTACTGCAGACAGGATGATTTAAACAAAATACATTTATTTCTCACTGTCCTGGAGGCTAGAAGTCTAAGATCAAACTGTTGTCAGCTTTGGTTATTTTGAGACTTCACTCTTCAGCAAGGTAGCAGTGCCATCCTTAGATTTCTGCAAAGACTTTCTGGCTGGGGGTGCTCAGTGAATACAGGGGAAGGGGTGGGAGCAGGGAGTCCAGTGAAGGGGCTACCAGATTAGTCTGGGCAGGATGTGGAGGTGGTCCTTAGAGGTAGTAGTGCAGGTAGCAAGGAACAGTTGTCCCCAGCTGGCTTTCCACTTAATGGTCAGGCAGGATGGGATGTGCTATGTCTGGGGGTTTCACTGGGATTTCTGCCCTACACAGGACTTACAGATTTCAAGCCTGGCTACTGGATTGGTGTCCGCTATGATGAACCATTAGGGAAAAACGATGGCAGGTAACGAGTTTCTCCACTCAGGTGCCTGCATGTCTGTACATGTGTATCTGTGCATGTATGTGTAAGTCTGTGTTGGCTGCTGGGTGAGCTTGCCCCACTAGCATCTGGAGTGGGATCCATGTGGGTATCCTCTGATCACTGCCTCCCCCATCATGCCCTGCAGTGTGAACGGGAAACGCTACTTCGAATGCCAGGCCAAGTATGGCGCCTTTGTCAAGCCAGCAGTTGTGACAGTGGGGGACTTCCCAGAGGAGGACTATGGGTTGGACGAGATGTGATGCCCAAGGAAGGGCATCCCCCTGCTCCAGCTCCTGACTTGGCCACTCATTGCCCCTCCCTGTGTGTGCCCATGGCCCTTTTCCCTTGACCCATTTAATTTTAATTCACCCTTCCTTTGCCATTGACTTTTGAGATTCATGCATTAAATTTGCCAGAAACTCAGGAAGTGTTTGGACGACTCAATGATTTTGGAAGGGGCTGGGAGTGGTTGGGTAAATGAGGATGAAATAGGAACCAGCCAGTGCAAAGCAGAGAATGGGCAGGGTGAGGCATTATCCCTTGGCTGGTAGCTAGAGGCTACAAAGATTGTCCTTTGTCCTTTATTAGTTAATACTATGTTCTGCTGGGACCAGCAGTTAGCGTAATGGCTATGTCACTGGACTCCCACATAGTCGACGGTGGTTCACTTCCCGGACCCAGTGGCTTCAAACTCACGCCGGGCGCGTGTGCGTGCGTGCCCAAGATCCCTAGAGGAGAATAGAGGAGAAGGGACTGCGGCATGGCCATTCCCCCTGGGGAGTGATTTCTCGCTTTCTGTCTCTCTCTCTGTCTCCGTCTGGCGAGTGCATGCGCCCTATAGTGAAAAACCTCTCAAAAAAAAAGAAAAAAAAGAAAAGAAAAAAACCCACTATGTTCTGCTGTGGTAACAAAGAGACTCAAAGTAAGAGAGGCTTAAACAATATGAAAATTTCTCATATAAATTCTCATGCAGTCATCGAGAGCTAATATGATGACCTTTGTCAGGGGCCAGTCTCCAGCTCCTTCTATCTTTTTCTTCTCCTATCTGCATAATTCCTACTTATCTGCTCCAGTCACCAAGAAAAAAGGAATGGGAAGATATCCTATGTATGCATATGACTTAAAATGTATTCATATGTTGGGACCAGCAGTTGGCATAATGGCTATGTCGCTGGACTCCTATGTAGTTGACCACGGTTCGAGTCCCAGACCTGGTGGCTTAAACTCACACTGGGCACGTGTACGTGCATGCCCAAGATCCTGAGAGGAGAATGGAGAAGAAGGGATTGCGGCGTGGCCATCCCCCCGGGGGTTGATTTTTTGCTTTCTTTTTCTTTCTGTCTCTGTCTTTCTGGGGAGCGCATGCGCCCTGTAGCAAAAACCTCTCCAAAAAAAAAAAAAAGTATTCATATTTCATTGGCAAGAATTTTTTAAAGAATTATTTAATTTTATTCATTGTCATTATTTTTATTTAATCTTTTTGAAGTTGACCAGAGAGGAGGAAAGTGAGAAAGCAAGCTGCCAGGTCTGAGACTGGAACCGCAACCATGTGGGGGTCCAGCCTCCTTAAGCATGACGCCATCTGCTGGCGACATTTTTTTTTTTTTTGGAGATTTTTTGTTTGTTTGTTTGTTTGTTTGTTTGTTTTAGAATAACAAAAAATATTTTACTAAAACATAAGATTTACAGAAGTTTCCAGACAAGCCATACAAAATGGTCACAAGCTTCTTTCGAAGGGGTCTACACTTGACAGCAAAGTCACTATCTTATCAGTGAGGGCTGTGATGTTTGTTTAATGTTCCCATTTTGGTTCAAACAATCAAGCTTGTCCATCTACAGCGTCTAAATAAAGCTAGACTTGGCTAGAGTGTGTATTCTAAAGAACTGGTGAGCTGCTTTTAACCAATGCGATTAGATCACCATAGAAGGGGGAAGGAGCCCATAAAAGTGAAATAAAACCACCTCCCCCCTCAAAAATAAAATAAAATAAAGGAAACACCTGCACCCCTGCAGCTCACCCTGACTACCTGCAGTTTAAGAGAGATTTTTGCTATAGGGCGTGTGCGTTCAGCAGACAGACAGAAAGTGAGAAATCACCCCAGGATGGCCATGCCACAGTCCCTTCTCCTCTTGGGATCTTGGGCACACATGCACATGCACCCGGTGTGACTTTTAAGTCACTGGGTCTGGGGCTCGAATTGTGGTAGACTACATGGGAGTCCAGTGATGTAACCATCACACTATCTGCTGGTCTCACATTGGTGAAAATTTTGTTACAGAGCCATACAAAAGAGTCTGGGAAGTGTAGGCTTTATGCTGAGCAGCCATGTTCCCAGCCAAATAAGGTCCTATACTACCAGAGGAGGGGAAAAGGGATACGGAGAGTCAGCTGGTAGCCTGCCACAGTCCTTGTGGGTAGGGGCCATTTCTTTACCTGTTACATTTAATATTTTAAAGAAATACTTAAATTTTAAAGAAATCAAAACACCTTAGAGTTAGCATAAAGTTATTCCTCACGGCTTATAGAACCTGGCAAAGAACACGGTGCCAACATGTGATGTGTGCATACGTGCGGCCCATGTGTTCCAAGGAGCCTGAATCACACTGAGCATGTGTCTACATGTGCAGTAATAACCTCTTGTTAGCTCCTGGAACTGAGTCCTGAAGAGATAACTATTAGGTCATCGGGAAAATCATGATGTGTTTTTCTATGCAAAAACACATCATGACTTTCCTGACAACCCAATATTTGGGGGACTCTGCTTAACTGTGAAAATGACTTCACTATAACTTTGAGAGAAGCAGGAACAAACTAGTAAGAAGAATGAGGTTAAACTGCCCATGAGCTGAAAAAGCCGTGGGGGAAGCTGCTCACATGCACTTAATAGGCTGATATGTCCTTACTCTTGCCCACCACAGAGTACACGGACACACTGAGATGTACAGGACACCTCTTGGACTCACTCTTGGACTCACATTCAGACACATGAAGTCACATGTACAGGAACACAGGGCAAGCAGGTGCTCACACACACACACACAGCCACCCCCTTCTACACACACACACACACACATACACACAGAAAATGCTCAGAGATTAACATCAACCACCCACCATGGGAAATTGTCACTCTATAAAGAACCTAGTTACTTTATAAAATAACCCCAAGGGATGACTAGCAGGTGGCAGGGTGGTTAAGGCGCTGGACACTTCCACATGGCCAACCACGGTTTGAGTCCCAGACCTGGTGGCTTTCTTTCTTACTTCCTCTGTATCTCTCTCTGGTCAAATTTTAAAATACATTAATGAATAAATTAAATAAGTAATTTCTTTAAAAAAAAATACCCAAGAGGAAGCCAGCCCATGTTGTGGTGGTTAGAGGTGGCTGAATCAGCATTGTCTACTGCACCTACTACTCTTTGAGTCTTAGACCCAGGGGCCAGAAAAACATAGGCATGTGTGCATGCATGCCCAAAATCCTGAAAGGAGGGGGAAATGAAGATTGTGGTATGACCATTCCCAATGGGGTGTGATTTCTCATTTTTTGTCTCTCTGGTGCTTGCCCTCTGGTGAAAGTTTTTAAAAAGAAAATAACCCCAAGACTTAGGCTCCTTCTATGTCAAGGAGTTGTCAGAATCAGGAGCATTAGAGGAGATACTCCCCAGCTCCCCAGTCCGCACCTCCTAACCTACGTTCGGCCAGAGAGCCCAGCAGAATTCAATTAATGAGTCAGCACTGAGGGTCTGAGATTCACTGTAAGATCTGGCCTCTGGGGCCAGCAGGTGGCATGGTGGTTGAAGCACTGGATTCAACCAGCCATGGTTCAAGTCCATGACCTGGTGGCTTGCTTTTTCTCACCCCCCCCCAGGTCAAATCAAAAACGAGTAAATAAAGTTAGAATAAATCATTCTTTTTTAAAAAGAATTATTTAACTTTATTATCCATTTGTTTATTTAAATTTGACCAAAGAGGAGGAGAGAGAGAGAGAAAGTGAGAAAGCAAGCCACCAGTTCTGGGACTCAAACGCAGTTGGCCATGTGGGAGTTCAGTGCCCTCAACCACCATGCCACCCGCCGGCCCCAGAATAAATAATTCTTTAAAAACAACAACAAAAAAGATTTGGCCTCAGACCAACTGTGGTGGCACAGTGGTAACATAGCCTCTGCAATGCTCAGGGTGTATGTGAGGGTCCCAGATTCTCATCCAGAACGTACTAAATCTGCCAGATACAAGTGGTATCAGGAAAGTGACCTGGGGGACATTTGAATAGGAGTCACCCGAACAGAAGGGTGCTTGGCTTTCTAGGCCTGAAGTAATCCCTTTGGTGATTCGTGCTGATGAGAAACTGACCCAAGGGCCCACTGGTGGTCTGGTGGTTGAAGCAGCTGGATTCCACTTGCCTACCTGCAGGGTGGAGTCCTGGACCCAGCAGCTTGAAAACACGTGAGGTGCACGTGTGTGCCCCAGATCCCTAGACTGGAGAAGGGATTGTTGCATGGCCATTTCTCCTCCAACCCCCAAGTGGGGGTGGGGGGGTGTGCTTTCTCACTTTTACTCACTCTCTCTGTGTCTCTCTGGCAACCACACGTGTCCTATGGCAAATTAAAAAAAAAAAAAGAAGAAGATGAAAAAACAAATATCCTGTGCTAAACACAGACTTACCTTTGTCCTGAAATCGGGCTAAATCGCTAACTCAAGGATCAGCATACCAGTGATCCTCCAAAGTTGACCAGTGACAAAGTTGGGATTCTTCAGTTGGTCAATTGGTTGTGAGAGGACTCGTAGCCTTAATGAAGCGCACGGGCTCTGCACCTGCACTGTCACAGACCAGGTGACTGAATGAGCAGGTCGTCCTCTCTGGGCTTTGGCTTCGTTCCTAGTGTGGCCAGTAACAGCCCCTGTCACAGACGACAGTCATGAAGATTCAGTGCGCTACAGCCAGCCTGCTGGTACTGTGTGGGAAACTCTAGTCCTCACAACCGGCCCTGCTTCCAGTTTCTTCATTGTTTGGCCTCCTCACTCGACTTTCCTTTCTGGCCAAAATGTAGAGTCTCCCTCTTGGGGGAGGATTCCAGAGGTCCCCAGGACGACGGCTCACCTCAACCTCAGCGTCCCGACCATGACCGCGGACAGCCGCGCGGGGGTAGCAACGCGCCGTCGACTCTGGCCGCGCGGGGGCGCACTGTGGCCAGCGTAGCCGCGCGGGAGGCAAGGGGTGATCGAAAGCAGAGGTCTTGACCCTATGGAGGCGCGGGGCATTGTGGTCTGTTGGCGGTTGCGGACCCCTGGAAGCGCGGTGCTGCGCAGGCGCGGACAGCTTGCGCTGTGGAATCGGAGGAAGGAGGCCGCGTCCTGGCTTTCCCGCCGCAGAGGGAGAAGTGCGCCACCTCTCTTGGAGGTCTGGAGCTGCTGAGCCGCCCTC